CAACTGAGACACACCAGGTCAACGCCCACTTCTCTGCTCCAACGCATGTACAAGGATGCGCGAGCAGAGATTTGCGCATTGAAGCGGAGAACAAAGAGTTGAAACGGAAAGCCACCGTTATGGCCGATTTGGAGCACCTTCGTACTTTGCTTTGAGGACCAGTAGGGAGTCAACCCTCTCGGTGGTCCTGTAAGCACTAAGGCAGGCTTCAAGGGTCGATGACAAAAGAGATGACGAGCTTGGCTGTAGAGCCGAGTAAGTGAAGTCGCGCCGTGGCCGTCACCGAGAAGAAAGAAGAAAAAAAATCCCTCTCTTTTTGTTTGTTTTCTCTTTTTTTTTTTTGAGTTTGTTGTTGTTGTTGTTGTTGTTGTTTTTTTTTTTTTTTTTTTTTTTTTGTATATAGCTGGGTTTGTTTTTGTTTTTGTTTTTATGTAAATTTTTATTTTGATTTGTTTTGTTTTTATGTTCAAGTACTGAAAAATGAAATTAAAAAGTAAAAAAATAAGAAAATTAAGTCCAAACAAAAATATAATGAAAAAAATAAAAATAAATGAATTAAGCCTAATAGCAAAAATAAAATAAATAAAATAATACTAGCAGAAATTAAACTTAATGGGACGTTGGTATTGCTGAAATGGTAAAGCAAAAAAAAAAAAAATACCATGAGGGTTTAAAAAAAAAATCAATGTGTGCAAATTAATTTACCTCAAAGATGTAGAACAAAAAAAAAAAAAAAATACACAGTTGAGAATAGCAAACTGTTAAGGAGAATAATATATGAAGGACTTGAGAGCATGCAACTGATATAAATGTTAATCAATGTGCAATACACATATATCAACAATCGATTATTTAACACATATACATATATCAACAATCGATTAATTTATACACATATCACATATAGCAGTTGAGCATGATCTAACAATCGATTTGAGCATGATTACAATCAATTTAATAGCAAGAGCGTAACAGATTTTATACAAGATAGTTAAAAAATATGTGAGGTGCAAGCTCATAAATGTGATATCAAAAATAGAATAGAATCTGAGGGATTTTTTTAAAAAAATAATCTAGTTTAAATTTCTTCCTTTGTTTCATTTGACAAATCAAAGGAGATATGATAAATGAATGCTCATAACTAAATGTTCTCCACAATAATATCAAATAGGTTGTCAAATATTCCCAATAAGGATGCCAAAATGATACCAACATGCAATCTACCAAGGATACAAATATGCAATCTAAATATTAAACAATCAATAGCTCAAGCATTAATGTAGAATACAAATATTGCTCATAAAGTTTAAACTCAATATAATCTCATGGCGGTAATGTAATTCCAAAAAATGAAGCATGTTCAAGGTATAGCAATCCATATGCCAAGAAAAATCATGAATTCAATATATAGACACACATTTAAGCATAGGCATGATTCTTAGGCAAGAGCATACGTCAGGGGAAGAATTTAAACTTGATTATTTTTTAAAATCTTCTCAGTTTCTATTCTGTTTTTTATATCAAACTTATGGGCTTGCACCTTCACATGTTACTATTTTTTTTTGCCCATTATTGCCAAATGGTATGAGTTTCAATTGTATGATCATTATGTGCTATCATTTTTTTTTGGTATCATAGAGCTACCTTGTTATGGATGATTATTTGTGCTATAATGAGACTTACATTCTTCCATCCTATATGCTGTACCATACTCTCTCCTTGTGCTTGATTTTATTGAAAATGTCATCGGGGGAGAAAAAGAGACTTGATTGTTTTAGTATCTCTGATTATTTTGGTATCTCTATACTTTTGGTATCTTAATTCTTACAACATGACCTTTGAATTGATTAGTTGTTGATAATGTAAGAGGAAGATCGTTTTCCTAAAGGAAGAGTGACTTGAACTTTAGCTCCATATTTATGCTCTTACTTGGCAACCTTGTTTGATATATGCACTGTTATGTCTATTATAGTCTTGAGATTGGTATGCTCTTGCTAAGAAATTGAGAATTGGATCATGCTCAAATGCTTCTCATAAACTTATTAACAATTTGATCTCTCGTTATTATTTTTTGTTTGGGCTTAATTTTCTTATTTTTTTCTCTGCTTTTTAATTTCATTTTTCAGTACTTAAACATAAACACAACAACAAATCAAAATACAAATATTTACATAAAAAAACCAAAAAAAAAAAAAGCACCTTTCATTTTTTTACGGCCACACACCGATCAAAATAAACATTAAAAAAAAAAAAAAAACCTTCATTTTTTTTTTGCCATACGCCGATCTTACTTACTCGCCTCTTTCATCGTTTTCTTCTTCTTTTTATCACCTTGGGCGACCCTTGACGCCCCTGCCCATGCTTTCGTCAAGAGCGACGACTTCCCGCTAACTATCAAAGACCAAGAACGACGTTGCTTCAAGTTGGGCCATGGAGATAGTCTTCCGTTTAAGCTCTTTATTTTCGGCCTTCAGTGCGCCTATTTCTACTCGCGCATCCTTGTACATGCGCTGGAGCAGAGAGAGTTGGGCGTTGACCTGATGGAGCTCACTCGTCCTGTTCTGCAATTGGTGAGCCAATTTGGTAACTTCCATCACCGTCTCCATACAGGACGTCAATGTGAAATGATTGGCTTCTATGTCAGATTAACCTGCCATGATTTGCTTAATCGACATCATAGGAAGGTTAGGAAGAGGAATGACAGGAAGAGTAGGAGTAGGGGCACTAGGTCTAGCAGAGCTTATGGGATCGTTCAGGTCCGGAAATAGAGTGAGGGGACGAGATGAGGAAGCCATGGATTAGAGGTGAGAGATGTCAAAGAAATGAGTTGCAAAGAAATAGAAGCGAACAGACTGAGGTTTGGCCTCCTCCGTTCAGTTTTTTTTTTTTTTTTTGTCCCTCGATGAGGAAGAAGAAATAGAAGAGAGTGAGGTGAAGAAGAACAAGAAGCAGACGAGTGTGATTAGGAAGAAGGCTGAAGAGAAGAGGCTGAAGAGAAGAAGATAAGGAGGGAAAGATAGCTGAGGCGCGCGGCAATCGAGGAGAGCTGCTTTTGTTGGCCAATGAAGCAAAAGCCAGGCCGCGTGGCAACCGCGTTTTGCGAAAAAATAGAAAGACGCGGGAAAGTTGTATGTGTATGCATATATGTATATATATATATATATATATGTTTTGATTATCTATTTTTTGATGCCATTTATCCCTATCATTTTCCTCCTCCTCCTCCAGATTCTGACCCATGATTTCCTTTTGATAATGTCACAGGGGGAGAAAACTTATGATGTTATGATGTTATGTATTATGGTATTATTTTCAAATTATGGTATTATTTTCAAACTAATCTAATGTTATGTATTTATAGTTTGATATCTTAGTCTCATATTATGTCTCTAATTAAAGTTTATTTATTACACATGTATTAACCTATGTATTTAGAAATCAATTCAGGGAGCATGACTTGAGGGGGAGCTTTTCTTACTCCCAAATCAAATCAAAACATCATTGTGTGCCATCATCAAAAAGGAGGAGGTTGTTAGACTTATTTATTTTGATGATTTATTTAATTATGTTTTAATTTATTTGAAAGAGAAAAATAGAATCCAAAATTTATTTTGATGATTTATTTAATTTATTTGAAAAAAAATAGAATATTAAATTTATTTTGATGATTTATTTAATTATGTTTTAAACAGAATCCAAAATTTATTTTGATGATTTATGTAATTATGTTTTAATTTATTTGAAAGAAAAAAATAGAATCAAAATTTATTTTGTCCCGTTATTTCTCACCTAAATCTTTATCATAAATGTTGTTAGAATGTATTTAATATTTGATTAAATCAGGAGTTCAAATAGCCTAAAACAGAAGTTCAAATAGCCCAGCACAGCAGCAGACCAAAAGGCTCAAACACCCCAGCCCAGCCTAGCAGAGCAACAAGCCAAAAGGTTCAAGTGAAAGATATTCAAATTAGTAATGATGGAGTAGAAGATATTCAAATGAGTAATGATGGAGTACAACAGCTATAAACGGCTATATATTCAAATAAATACAATGGCTATAAACGGTTATAAGTTTCATTATATATACCAAAACCTCTAATGTAAACAAGTAACAAAAAAAAAAACTAGAAAATATTCTTTGATCTATAATCACTCACATTTATTCTCTGAAAATTTTTTTGAGAAGTGTTCTTCAATTTTTGTTTACATCCTCGCTCAGAAATTATGCATTAAGTCGTATAGCTTTAAGCCCATCTTTCCTGTGTGAGGATTACTGAAAAATCAGAGTCTTATTTTTATATCTATCTTTGAGAGATAATTCTTGTAACTTTCTGTGAAAGCAAAAACACCTTCTTTTAAACCTTGTAAGAGTGTATTACACTCAGTGTTCTTGACTTAGAAAGTCTATGTAAAATCTGTGGAGGATTGCTCCATCTGTGAGAAGGTTGCTACCACCCTGTAATTGATCTAAATGTAATTAAATTCAAATTAGATTAACATGTTTGAAATTATAATAAATAATTAAGAATTTATGATTAATTGTGATCTAAAACATAATTGAATTAAAATTAGAATAGAAATTTAAGAATTACAATAAATAATTAAAATTTTATAATTAATTGTGATTTAATTGAATTAATACTAGATATTATAAATTATGTGTGTGAGAGATGAGACAGAAAGAAAATAACAAAAAAGTACAGGATTTGAGGGTATTATAGTCATTTCACATCTATAGTTAACAGTGTTAATGGTTACAGTTTAATCCAAAACCCCTCTAGTAGTAATACCCCTCTAAATTTTTAAGTAGTAAATTCTCTTTTCTAAGTAGTTGTAACGACCCAATCTTGGCAAGGCAAAACCCTGCCAAGAGGGTGCACCTCAAACGCTATAGCACCTTTCAATTGCCTAACATATATGAGATGATCTATTGAAAGACAAAAAAAATATTATCATGCTACAAGATAGTTCCCAAGCATTTCCTCCCAAAAAAAATATAATACATACTAATCACGAATCCATCAATACATCCAACTTCATAAGCAATTTTTACAATCAACCTCCTTCATAAAAAAAAAGGGTAAGCTTACATCCTAGAATGACCCTAAGCAAAACCTCAACCACAAGATGCCCACCTGTGATCCTTCAAAAAAAATTCTAGTCTTCCAAGTTGAGGCGAGCCACACAAAAGTCTATGAATCTGAAAAAAAATTATTTAAAAGAATGAGCTAAAGCCCAATGAGTATACCAATACCATGGAGTTATAAAACTTGCTCCTACCAATAGGGTTCAAAATAAAGATACTAAACATAAGAGCTTAATTGGACTTAAATTTATACAAAATAAAAATAAAAATGATGAAATACAATTTTCATAAAACGTTATAAAGATTTTTCCAAGGAATCTCATAAGGCAGAAAAAAAAACATACATTTGGATAATGAAAGTAAACAAAAATATAACTTTTCAATACATTAAGATTTCCTGTCCATCATACAATCCACTACATAGCCTTAGGGTCGCGTTACCTCGCGACTTAGGTGGTGACGGTACCGTTACCCAAAACATAACCATAGGAACATAGCTCATGTCATCGTAGCACTTCAATTCTTGTTTCAATGTTTCGGTCCCCAGGACCCCTTATACATACAACGACCCTTATGGTCCTTAAAACATTTCGGTCCCCAGGACCCCAAAGCATTTTGGCCCTTGTGGCCCCAAAGGCTATATTCGGTTATATGATCAATAAAATAAATACCCTCACATAACATTTCACTGTCATTCAATCATCATCATAAAATTTGAAAGACTCAACTTAAATAAATTCTCATAAAAAAAAATTAATGCTTCATTATACAAATGAAATCATATCTTTATTAAAACTCAACCCTTGGCCTCAATAAATTTATAGATTTTCTTTTTATACATATATCATGATGAAATGTATCATTCACTTCCTTTAATTCAAAAATTATTTTCAAACTTTGTAATAAAGATAGAGGTAAGGTAATTTCCATGGTAAGTATACTCACCTCCAAAAATAGCAAAAGTGTAGATTTGAAACTCTACAAATTAATTTCCAAGAGGTGGAGAGATGCCTTCCTCCAATCCTAACAATTAATAAATAGGACCTAAAATTAGGAAAAAGCTTTCAATGAAAA